AAGAAATTATTAGATTCAACTGACAGGATAAGAATATCAATTATGACTTGAATGTAACAACTGCACTCAGTGGGCACGGAACCAGGAAGCCAAAGAAACCACAAAAAACCCTCTGCTTTTGAAAGCAAAGGCACTGGGGTTTCACTGGCCGCTGCCTTGCAAGCTTCTGTGCACCTGTGGAGGAGGCAAAGGCCTGGAAAAAGCCAGAGCAGACAACAGGAAATAGTCCATAAAAACTGAGAGAAGTCCCCTCTGGATTTCTGGCACCAGGTATGGGAGGGGAAGTCTAGTTAAACTCTTATTTCATTAATAGAGACAAGCTCTGTGTAATTGGTGTGAATACTACTGCTCCATCACTTCCTTGTAGAAATGCCTATCAGTGTATTTTTTCTCCAATTGAGAAAAAAAAACCCAAACAAGACAAAACACCACAACCCACTCAAACAACAAAAACACCAAACAAGTCCCCAAACCCCTGCAATAGATATGACACAAAGGATAGAGACAGTAAACTCTAAAATCTGCCAGGGTAAGGAAGAGACCGAGGAAGGAAGACAGGCCCAGAAAGCAAAATGTTTTTCCTTTTCCTTCTCTCCCATCTTACAGCTGGAGAGCGAGGTCTCATGCTAAAGGGGTTATAACAAAATACCTAAACCAATCCAACAACTTTCTGGTAGCTCCAGAGACCAGCCTGAGCACAGAGTTCGTCCCTCCCTCAACCCAGTGTTGCCTTTCCACTGGCTATAGCACTCAGCTGAGCATTTGGGTACAGACTACAGGAGACAGACAAAAATAACCATGTTTTCTATTGCTTTAGAGAGGCTTATTGTTGGTTTCTACGGTAAACAGCGTTAAACGTGGTGCAGGTGAAAGGTGAGACAACACAGATGGGAAGGAGAAGCAAGACAGTTCTTGGCTGCAGTCAGTAATTTTTGTAAAGACTAATAATTCAGTGGTTAGGATGAAGAACCCTTGCAAACACCTTCTCTGTGAGAGCTCTCAGTGTTTGTTGGATGATCCCACGGCACACTATGCAGCATACTCAAGGAAAATCCCTTTCTTTGCAGACATACCCAATATCATACCGATGAAGAAGCATAATAAAAAATTAAACAGTTTTGAAATAGATATTCTTAAGAATGGTTGCATCTAGGTATTACTTCAGATGTGTATAAGTGCACAATTGAAGTGTAAAAGACCACACACAGCTGCTCTTTCTGTTCTCCACTATGTACATACCTGAGATTTGTGAAACATCTGCAAGTTAATAGCCTTCACTTCTTCTAACTGTTGGCGAAGAGCAACTAAAGTGTCTTGTTTTTCATGAGTATCTTTTTCCAGAAGTTTCATGGCAATTTCCATTTCTGTTTTCATTCCAATTTGTAGCTCCAGCTCTTTCTCTAGTTCCTTGCAAAGAGATTTCCTAGTTATTGCTATGTAGTCACATGTCAGGGATAAGCCTTTCCAAAACCCACATAAGCCCCTACACAAACTATGTATTACTCTGAGATAACACCAAACTATAACTCTAAAGAAGAACTAGGTCTCAAATAATTTATTAAGTTAGTTAGACTAAAAGACTATTGCAGCTCTCCAGATCAGGGCAAGGCTGCACATCTTCTGGCATGAAGTGCAGAGCTCATTGTGTAACTCAGTGGTCTGTCAAATGAAGCATTTCTCCTGGCAGCTAGAGTTGGGTTGACTTAGAGCCATGGGCTTCAGCAAGCCTGGGCAGCCTCTTCACCAGTCACTAATGAGCAGTTCACTGTGCAAGTGACTGTTGTGCACATCCCATGTTTTCCTCCATAAAGACAGTTGCCTCCCTTTGTGTTTTGATCTTAGTCTCTGCTATAATTATGCTGGTAGCTTCTTAAACAGGGAAAGACCTTTTATTTTCAGCATTCCAAAAGCCCCAATTTCCAGTTATTTACAGACACTGTTAATGACCAATATCCAGTATCTTGCTTGCAAATCCTTCATGGATTCTGAACAGCTGCATCAAGTGCACAGCATACATCTTATATTTGTAATGCTACCTTAGAGTGGGCAGAATCCTGTATCTTTCATCTAATTTTCTACAGTTAAGTTTCCTTACCAGCCTAATTTTTTTTTCTTCTTTCAACTGCTTCCAAACATCACTGTACATTTCATCAAGGCCCTGGCGTGACTGCTTGTAAGTATCCAATTCTACTTTTGTATCCTCTTTTGTTACCTACAAGGAAACATCAACAAAAGCACCACATAACATCACAAAGCTATGTAATTAAAGTGTGCCTTCAGTTCTTGTGTGTAACACAACATTTTTATGTGCTATTTCAAATAAAATCCTACTATTTTACAATTAATAAGCTGGTAAACGTTAATAAGATAAAATTTCAAAGAATGGAGTAAAAATAATAATAATAAAAATTTTTAATACTTTGAATGCCTTCTCCCTTCTGCAAATATATGTTTAAGTGTGTAGTAAAAACCAGCAAAACCTGTGGATACTTGACACAAAACCAGTGATCCACACAGCAACACGCTAAACTGTGCTTAACATTCCAGTTCAAAGTGCTTTTGAAAGCACTAAGTACAGTTGCTCAAAAGAGATCAGTTATTTTAAGGATCCCCATCATCTTTAAACAGCTGTCCTACCTCTACGCTTTTTTCACTCCGTTCCCGAATTAATTCATTTTGTTGTTTTAACTGCTGCTGCTCTTCCTGAAGTGATCCAATTCGGTCAGTCGCTGCTGCAAGCTGTTCACAAAGAGAAAACAGATCTATATTTAATCACTGTACAAGAATGCAACATCTGGAGGAATTCTAAAGTTAGAAGCTCAGCCTTTGTAGCAGGTGTGCTGCTCACTTCTCCTTTTGGCCCTTTCATTCTCCCCAGAAGCTGCCTCACTCTTTTGCAGCCATATTCACTGTACAGCCTAAATTAATAAGCCCACCCATATTTGTTCACTTGACTTTTGCTTTGCACTCTCATAAATTATTTTAAAATATTAACTGTGCAAAGAAATGCATCCTAGTGGAAAAGGCTAAAATCTACCATAGGTCTGTGATCTGAGGTATTTGTTCTGGTATGAACTAGAAGTCATATAGTAAGTCAGGGTTAACATTCACTGATGGAACCTTATGGCATTTTCAAGTGGAGATACCCCAAAAAGTACTGGAAATTAAGACTACACAGATACAACTGGAAATAAATAAGTAAAACCCCCCACCTCATCACCACAAAACCCAGAACAAGTACTATCATGCACGCTGCTGGATTCTATTTCAGCTAGGAAATATTTCCTAATTGAAGTATGATTCTTTTCCTTCTCTTTTTCTGTGTTCTGTTTAACTCCCATGACAAATACACACACATGTGTATGTGCAGAAGGAAGAGGGAGAAGTCATGTTCATTATAGTGGTACGATTACTTTTGGGTGGAGATGCCATTGCAAGACAAAACTGAAAATTTTCAAATTCAGTTAACGAAATCCATGTAACAAATTAGTGCCCAAAAGCATTTTAAAAACTAACACAATGTAGAAGCTTTCCACAGAGCTTTCCCCTTGTGCCCACTCATCCCAGTCCTACCAACCCCCAATACTTCCTTAGTATCAACTCAAATATTAAGTCTAAGGGATATTCTCAGGGAGTTTTGCCTCTGATGGAAAACAGCTACAAGAAATATTTAACAGACCAGACACAAACCTCTTCCTGGAGTTTTGAATTGGTCTTTTCTAAACAATCTATTTTGTTCTGAAGATCTGCAACCGTGCAACTGCAGCAAGGAAAAGAGATGCATAAAAACAATAAAAGAAGTGCCAGTGATCAACATTTATTCCTATCCTCAACCATACTTTTACCATCTTGTATTTGTTAACAATGAAATACTTTGGTGAGCTGGCAAAAAATCCAGAGGGAGGACAATTGTCCATCTTAAAGCTCTGAGTCTACAGTTGGCAGCCTGCTCTGCTAGTTGGCAGCTCTGTTCTGGCTTAGCTTTTGCAGTCTTAACACCTCTCTGGTGTTCAAGAGGGTAAGTGAAGTCTGCTCCTCCCACTGAACAACTCACAGGGGAAGAACAGAGACTCTTCCTCTAAAGAATGAATTTCCAGATGCACTTGTAACAGTTCTCTCTTGAAAAAGCAGCTCTAAAATCTTCTGTTAATCACTAAGTATCAAAAAAGTCAACTATTATTGCACAGACTTGTTTTCTGCATTGCGTATGCCATCAGAAGAGTAAGATTACAAAACGAAACTAAAATTTTGGGAAATAATCAGTAAAGCCATTTCAATGTCAAGACAAAAATCTACAAGACTGACAGCAGAGGCATTCAAAGTCTAAACAGGAAAATCTAAACAGGACAAGTGTTTGTATGTCAGAATAGATTAAAATCTCACCTTAGATGTCGGTTAAGTTCTTCCACATAATGCTTCTGGTCAAGGACAGCTGTAATCCCTCCATCTCTAGTTGTAAAAGTGAACATTTATTGATTGAGAAGAAGCTCCTTCATTCTAAAGTGTTAGTTTGTACTAGAGTTTTCAGCACAGACTTGCAAACTGAGTTGAAACCTTTTCTCCTTTTCTTACAAACATTCTTGTGCCTGAGCTAAACCAAAAGCACTAGAGAGACGGAGCAGCTGCTTCTTCCCAGCAGCTAAACACTAAAGTGCTCTAAGTGCAGGAAGCACACAAACTATGAAGTCTCCTCCATTCACTACAAGTCTTCTAGATACAGTAATGCTAACAGTTGCAGTCTCTAATTTGCCTGACATTTCACCTAAAAGTATGTTTTTTTCCTCCATAACTGATCTCTCACACAGACAGCTACTTAGAATCATAGAATGGTTTGGGTTGGAAGGGACCTTAAAGCTCATTCAGTTCCAGCCCCCCTGCCAGCAGCAGGGACACCTTCCACTAGACCAGGTTGCTCGAAGCCTCATCCAGCCTGGCCTTAAACACTTCCAGGGAGGAGCAGCCACAGCTTCCTTGACTTACTTAACTGAGAGTGCTTCTGAAACAGTGCTTAAAAACAAAGCAGTGATTTAGTCACAGGTAACCTGGCAGATGATGTAGCCTAAAACTCAATAAAAACACAATATAAAATTTTGAATGCTTTTAATTTGGTCCCAGCTCAAGACACAAACTCTCCACACTGTATTTCTGTTAAAACTACCATGGGCTCAACCTTTGAAAATTAGTACTTTTGTTTAGCTAACAAAATCTATTTTGGATTATCTTTTTTTGGATGACTAAAAGAGTTTAAGATCTCTAGCACTTAACGTGCTCCCACAGACTGTCTGACAAGTTTGTTTTACAAAAAAATGGAACAATTTAGAATCATTAATTCACCATACATACTGTTTGCCATCACTGTCCTGTGTTTCCTTAAGGTACAAGGAAAAATCAATCACTCCAACCTGAAAAATATATTTAAGACATTAACACACCTTCATAGTGCAATTCTGCATTGCAACAGGTGTTACTTTATATTTGGAAAAAGGTAAACATCTGAAGTTTAAGTTTAGAAAGACAAAAAATAGTTACACTCTTCCCAGCTGAAGCAAACATACAAGCTAGTGTTTGTCATAAAAGCATCAAAATAACCATACTCAGTGTGCTCAGTTTCTTGCAGTTGTTAGTTTTGACAGCATTTCCATAAATTGCTACTTAAAGAGATAGATACTTATGTACTTTTTCCATTCAATGTGGGAAACATGACAAGCTTCCACATATGACATTCCTGCCCCTCTCATTGCCCCTTCCCCCCAAAAAAAACCAACAGAAAAGGAAAAAAGAACCTAAATCATGCTTTCCTAAAACAAAAATAAAACCAAAACCACTCGACAGTATCATATGGAGATATGCCCCTCTCATTGCCCCTTCCCCCCAAAAAAAAACAACAGAAAAGGAAAAAATAACCTAAATCATGCTTTCCAAAAAAAAAAACCAAACCAAACCAAAACCAAACCCCACAGTATCTTACGGAGATATCATATTTAAGCAATTCTTTGAGCTCTTATGAAGACATTAATAGTTAGACATGTCCATAATTTGTAGAATAGGCAGGATAATTGCTACATTATTTTCTGCAACATTATCTTTTAAAGAACAAAAAGGTTAATAAGAATAAAATTGGACCAACATATATTTTTAATTTACAGCTTAGAAAGAGAGTGAGATTTCTGCAATGCTATTGACCCATTTTGTCAAAGTTTACCTAAATCAAAAGTAAAACAGATTGTCTGAAAGAGGACATGGCCTAAAATTCCAGGATACTCACGGTAAGTTAAGCACAAATTCATGTAAGGCATGTATTTGTTTGGACCACAAATACCTCAAAACATTCCTTATACTCCTGGGCTGTTTCATTAAAGCAGCAGAGGTATGTGACATCACCCTCCCCCAACACACCAAAGCCAAAAGGAAACTACCCCCTCAAAACAAAAGCTCCCATAAGTTCCTAGCAGATTGATCTTTACAACGTATCTCTTGTAATCAGCTTAGTTTGTCCAATTTTTGATTTATCATAAGACATTCAAATGCCTGCTTACGAAAACAGCAGCAAACCCTGGCTGCATAACACATTTAAGAATTTTGGACCTGTCTCAGTGAAGTATTTATGGATGTGTTTAATTCGACTGGAATCTTATACAGACTGATCTTATTTAACCTTTAATCTTCACCTGGGAGTCCAAGTCTTCTCCTTTCAAGCAAAGGTTTGCATCAATAACATTCAATCCAACTAGCAGACCCACAATGACTGCTCCTTCCTCCTCCATCATCAAGGCATCAGGTTCGTAAAATTCACTAGAAGAAAGATTAGAAGGTCTCACTGCACATCACAACAACTACAACGGCTCTTCCACCACTGAAATCAGATAAATAGCGATGTAGCCCTTATAAAGCTCCCTCTTTGCTAATTTATTGCACAAGGTGGAATATTTTCTCACAAGAAAATACTCTACTTGTTCCTCTGTAGGTTCACTGCAAAAACAACAACTTGCTCTCCTGTAGGTTGCAAGAAAAAGCTTAAACTGACCAGTTAAAGACCAGTGAATGACCAGTGAATGACTAGAGCACTGCAAGGTTTCAGCGATTCGGTGAATACAAACTACAGATGTCTGTACTGTTACCTTAACAGATGCTTATGGTCCAACAGTACTTTGAGATAATCTGCCAGTTTCTTTTGCATGAGTGCTAGATAAAGCCAAGCCCTTCCTCTTCCTACAGCAGTCCTAAAATGAAAAGTTGCACGTTTTAGTAAAAACAAAATGGTTTATTAACTAGATCTAGACAATTCAAAATTATCCCTTTACAAACTGTTCTCTCCACAACACAGAAGCATTTGAATAAATCCTATTGCTTCACTGAACAGAAAATATATTGTAAAATCTTCCTATCTTGGAAAGACATACATATTTTCAACTACCAGCATAACCCAACCATTGATGCATCCTACCATTAAAATTAGTTTATTTTAATCATTCTGAATTACCCAAATGAAATGGTACTAGCACACACACAAAAATAGACAAAATTAAACAAAGCCATAGGGAAAGTGAGGGAAAGAAGAGGAAAGAAAGTATCTGTGAATACTCTGCAGTTATTTTTAGCAAGTTTATAGAAATTTCCAAATGCTGTTTTTCAATCTGACAGCACTGTTTGAATCAGAAGCACAAAATATTTTGAGACATCCTCCTTATCTCTTAGAGAGGTCAATGCCTCCTACATATCCTATTTTTCTCTTTAGGAACAAAATCTTATTAAGGAAAGCGAGAGACTATACAAAAGATTATTTTTCCCAGCAGCAGAAGTGAAATGCATCATCCCCCAAAATCCACTTACTTCAACTCTGGCAGATTTTTAACACTAGTTGCTATATCGGATGCTTCAGGACAAAGTTTTTCCACTAGCTCCAAAGGACCGAAAAATGATTTGTTCTGTCCAATAAAAGTCTTCTTCACTAAAAGGAGTATAAAAAAAAGTTTGTAAGGAAAGGTGACAGGCTTCCAACTCCAGAATGACAAATTTTAGTTGATGTTTTACTTTCTCTTACCAGCTCCTAATAAGTCAATGAAATGAGGGCATTAAAGTACCATGACAGTTTAGGAGGCACAAAACACAGGGGATATCAGAAGGTAACCACACAGTTTTATGTGTAATACCAATTAGCAACCTATGGTGTATGCAATTAATATTAATGTTGTACAGAAGCCAGACACGGCGAGACAGGTCACAGATCATTTCTCTGCCTCTCCTCAGCGGGTGCCCACCTTTCAGGCCGTGCTTGAGGCAATGCTCCAGCACCACGAAGAACTGCTGCAAGGGTGGGAAGTCCGAGTCCAGGGTCCGGCCCAGGCTCAGGGCCGATTGAATCAGGATTTTGATACTGAGCTTCATCATGTTCATGAGGTTGGCGCGTTCCTCCATGGCGTGGTACCGCGCACCTGGGCGGGGGGACACGGGTGGGGGGGAAAAGAGATGGTTTAAGAGCCGGACTCCCCACAGCGCTGACA